AAGCAAGCGTTCATTTCTGTCGTTGTTCGTTTCCCTCAAGCTAGATTCGAGTATTATAAAATACTGACAAGGCAGCTGCAAGATACTGCTTGCAAGTAATCTTTACTTCTTTTTAATCGGATCTCATATATTTGAAGCTAATACAAAACTGTGTCTGTCATGCGATGGAAAGCGGGTCATAAGCACGATTATTGCAAGTGGTAAATTGTTCCAATGAAAATGTTGATCTTTCGAGTCGCTTCAATGACCTCACTATACATAGAATTTTACATTAAAACAGTCCAACAATGGTCCACTATAAGGATGGACTAACTATTGGCTGTTACAAAATCAGGTATCGACAAGTAACTTGTTTGTATGAAATTTACCATTCGCGGAGGAATACGGAGAACCATCGATCAAGCGAACTACATAAAAACGTCAAACGGGAAACTCGGAACGAGTCAGAATAGTACCAAAACTGAAATAAATCAGTCACATGGATCTCGAATATTACCGAGATTAAAACGTTAAAACTCGTTTCCACGGATCCCTAGATTATGACGTTCGTTCAACAGTGAATGATTCAGCTACCGATACCCTGAATCGTGAAGTAGCGAAGTGTGGGAATAATGTTGCGTAAATATTTTTGTAATAGCATAAACAAGCTTTGAAGAAATATTATTGTTCATGACCTATTATCACTTCAATAATGCAATTAATGTAGTGATGGTTCACAACTGTTTCTTGTCCAGTCTGTTGTGTCTGTAGTTGTGAGCTCATGACTGTGCCACCTCTTTTTGTTCCTACTTCCTGATTTGTCCTCGTGAAGCAAGGAGAAACGGCTTCATACCTAGGCGTCTATTAGACCCTACCCTTGATCACAATTATCCATGGTTTAGAAGTGGGACCATTGAGTGAGGATGTAACACAAGTCGTACCATGAAGGGAATCAGAGCGTTCCAACTCTTGTATGAAATCGAAACGGGACAGCCTAGGCACACGGAGATTCACATTGCACACAACGCTGGGCAGTGAACAACCGTCCCTATTATCTGCCCCCTCCCCCATAATAAAATCTGCTTTGCGCTCAAGTGTAGTTTGTCAGAACACCGAGATTTATTGATAGAACTCCTGACATGTAATCATTCTTGAGGTAATCGTACAGTCGATAGCTGGCTCTTGATAAAACATTCCTCCTAAGTGGGGAATAATCATTTTGTTAGCACTCAGCCCCCACTTTCTACTCTTGGGAAAGCACCATATATATCTGATTATATATTGTGTCGTTTGGCTTGAATAGGAAACGTCTGAAACGAAAATCTTTGCTTCTGTTGCATTGTTCAGATATTAGCTAAGGCTAATTCACAAAGCTTAATTGAAAGTAAGTGATACAAAAAGGAGCTAGCCGTGTAAAACAAGCCATAATAGTTTCATTGTTTGAAGAACAATCATCGAACATGAAACCAAGGTTATCAGAACAGATTTTCGAATGGCAAAATAACCATAGTACAAAAGATTGCTGACCAAGAGAATAAAAACAAATACCAAGTTTTCTTCAACCAGTTTCAAATTATACCATTTAACATGATTTCAAGGTGAGGCACATATATTGATTTATAGTTTCATGTAGAAGCCTAAACACCTGGTTCGATGTTTTAGAAAAATAAACGATCTGGTTACTTCGAAGGGCCTATTCAAGATAGTTAAACAACTTCAGTTTCAGTGACCAAACACCAATATGGCGAAAAAGCTTGTTTTCGTAATTTCGTCTTCAGGCCTTTACAGTTATGTGTGCGTATTTATATCTCTTGTAGAAATAAATGTGGTTGGACCATAATGGTACAATCTACAGACAGACGGATGGTGTAGCCATGGGTTCCCCACTTGGCCCGCTCCTTGCAGATGTTTTCGTAGCCAAACTAGAAAACAACGAACTACGAGACATCATACATCAACTCCCGNTATTTTTATCCTTTCCGACAAAAGTATTTTACCGAACATAATATTGGATTGTTTTAACCGAGCTCATCCTTCAATCAACTTTACAATGGAAACAGACAATGAAGATACGTTTCACTTCCTCGACGTCAAGCTGAAGAAGAGGCCCAGTGGAAAGTTATCCCGTTCTATTTTTCGAAAGCC